AATTTATTATTCCTATATAATATATATTAAATAATTAAATATTTATATTTAAAAAAAAATAATAAATTTATATATATTTAAATGTTAATTTATTATATATAAATTTTAAAAATTATAATATAATATTAACAATTAAAAATTATATTATATATTTTATAATTTATTTGCTTAAAAAATATTATATAATAAAATTATAAAATAAAAATCCAAAATTAAAATTCAAGAAAATTAATAATAATAATAATAATACTAATAATATTAATACTAATACTAATACTAATAATAATAATATATATATATATTCGATATATTTAAATTATTATTTTTCTTTCAAATATATAAATAATATTTTGTATTTTAATTAATTTATATATATATATATATTAGATTAAAAAATATATTGGTTAGTTTTCCAAATAATAATATAATATATATTTAATTTATATTTATTTAAATTATTTGGTCGACCACTGGATTGGTAAAATATGGATTGATTTAATAAAATATTATAATATAAAATGATATCGTAATAAATATTAAAAAATATTATTGAATTTAAAGGTATATTTGGGATATATCTGGGTAAATTATAATAATTTACTAAATTGAAATAAAACCATATTGGGATATTTCCCCTTACTAACCAGTATTCCAGTGAGGTCGCAGTGAGGTCGTTGTAATTTACCCAGATATATGTATGGGATATTGGATTCATCTGGTATTTGTGTCTGATCTGAGATTTCGCCTCGGGGCCTAGCCGCTAGCGGACAAGTTTCACATCTTCACTCGCAACCGCTTCCTGAGGCTGGAAGGCTTGAATGGAGTGGGAAAATCTGACAGGAAACCTTGGTTTTACTGTGAAATCTAGAGGTCCTGTGGGAAAACCGATGCAAATTTGGGTTCAACCAATTTTTTAGGGATAATATGGGTGAATCTAGTGTGAGGCTTCAAGACATCCTTTTCCCTCCCCTTGAGCTTGGATCAAAGTTAGTGCCATCTTGATGGTTGACGAGATGAAATATATAAAAATCCTCATGATGATTCTGCAAAGTTCTCATAAAGTGAGTCGGCCTGTAGATGTGGGTATGTTTGAAAATGAGATATGCGATCCAAATGGCACTCTAATGGGGAAAATTAACACCAACCATGAAATTTGAAGTCCTAATTTCAAACACCCCGTTGTCTGCTAAATCCTTATCC